TAGTTATCTGCCTACAGTCAGTTATCTATGCTATCATCATGAGAGGCAGCCCTGTCCCTCACTCTGAGGACCCCACAAATGTATTGATTATCAGAATTTTTTAAATGCACTCTGGAATCTATCTAGCTCACTCACCACATATTCTTTACTCAGATGTAAGATTTGCTTCCTGGTGCTTTTGCTATATTTTTGTTGATTGAAAAATGAGCACCTAACTGTATTCTCGGCTCGTATTCCAATTGAAGGACCCTCCACAAAGTGCCTAGGTTCTTGACTTGGGTATTGGTAACACCCAGATATCAGGACAATGTCCTGCTGATGGATGCCGTAAAGGGAGAGGGGGCGCTGCTGAGAAAGGAGTTGCAGCTCAGGCCAAACATGGGAGGGAGAGGCACAAAGGATGCCGGGAGCCAGGGCATCTGGAAAGCAGGACCTTATCAGGTTGGCAAGTAAGGGAAAGACTCTTTAAATCTTTGCTGGTGATCTTCTAAGTGACTGAGTTTTTCCTCCCAGCATTAATATATTCTTCTTTTTCTCAGGCAAGAAACGCACCTAAATAACTTACCTGGCCTGTAAGAATCTTATCTGAAAAACTGCCTGCACTTTACAACCATCACAGTTGGAATGAGTTGGAATGACTTTCAAGATAACAACTGGGCAGAGAGCAAAGCAGTGTCTGGTTCTGAGTGGGGAAGTTTTTGTCAAGAGTGTTGTATAAATTGCCTTGATTCACACCTGTCTATGTGATTAGCTAAAGGACAGGTGATTAGGGTGAAAGGAAAGTGGGGAAAAGGTAAGATTTCCCTTTTTGTCTTAGGCATTTAGAGTTTTGGTTGGGAACAGAAAGTGTACATGCCTTTCTAACATATTGAGAAAACGAATTTCCTTCTCAGATAGAGATTCAATAGCATAATGCAAAACACAGAAGAATCAGAATCAGGAAATCTGAGGTTTTTTATTGGCACTACCACTGACTTGGTTGTAAGTACATGGGCATGAGTAATATTCTAAATATGCTCACCATCCAGGATTAAGTCTGAATTAACCTTGAAAACTCACTGTAGAGTTTATCATCACTTAACAGCCTCAGTTTCCTTATCTGTAAACTGAAGGGGTTGGGCTAGCTGCTCTCTGAAGTCCCTTCTAGCTCTTGGTGGGTTTGAGTTGGCAAGGCCAGACCCATAGAAATTTAGGCACCATGATTGCAATCTAGGTAGCTCCACAATCCAAAAGTCAGTTTTCTTGGCATAGTTAGCCTTAGGAGAAATTCAGGATAGACTGCATGGCATATTTCATAAGGATATTGACCCAGGAAGAACAGAGAACCACTAGAAGTAATTTCCTTGGGGCAGGTAGGTGGTGCAGTGATAGAACACTGGCCCTGGTGTCAGGAGGACCTGACCAGAGGTCTCAGGCACTTGGCACTAGCTCTGTGACCCTGGGCAAGTCACTTAATGCTTATTACCTCCCCACCTCCCCCAAAAGAAGTAATTCCCTTGAGTTTTTTTTTGACCTGCAATGCTAAAGAGTCATAGGCTTGTTCTTATTTAATGTTTGTTCACAAAGAAGCAACTGATTTTTAATGAAAGATTCTCACAGATTAAAATAGAATTGACAACTGGATGTAAACTCAGGGATCATTTAGTATATCATACCTTCATTTTATTTAGTGATTTTGAAAATTAATAATTTATATAGATTTTAACATCAGAATAATTTCTCAAAATACTGTCCCCAATTAATTCTTCACTTAAAAACTGGAGCTAAACCCAACAGACAAAGTGACCATGTTTTACACTGTATGTGTCATTCTGTTCCTATAGTCCTTAGCATCTCTACCAAGACTAGTCACTGCAAATCTTCTGAGTTTGGTAACATTTTTGTGCTCTTTCCTTTCACATTATTACAGTCATGTACATATATTGTTCTCTTCATTCTATTCCCTCCCATTTTATCAATGAAGAAATTAATGCCTGGGGAAATGACTTGGCCAAGGTCACACGGCTAAGTTTATGGCAGTGCCAATAAAAGACCCCAGATTTCCTGCTAACTCTTGCATGCTTTGCATTACACTATTGAGTCTCTATCTGAAAAGGCAATCAGCTTTCTCAGTAGTTAGAAAGCCAGTAGACTTTCTGTTGCGAGAGTCCCAGCCAAAACTCTAACTGCCTAATTAGGAGAAATGCCCTCCAAAGAGCTAACTATGGGAGAAATGGGAATCAATTAAATGAAAATTTAGCTAAAAGAAAAAATAGTCTTCAAACAGGGCAATAAATAGATGAATAAAATTATTAGATTAATAGATTATGTTCTTTGAAGTCCTGGCGGTGATTTGAAGTCATCTACAACAAATGAGCCCTGAATTCCCCTAGGATGGACGATGGATGTCCAGGAATATGCTTAATTTGAAATTATAATTATAAAAACTAAATCAGGTTCTTTGGCTATGTAGTAACTGGTCCTCTCAAGGGTGTTCATTTGTAGATTTAAACTCTGAGTGCTCTCAAGTTGGCAGTCTATTTATAGGAGAGGCTTTCAGTCTCTTACCAAAGACAAAGGCTGCCATATTTGCTCCTCTGGTAAAGAACATTTTCTTGTCTATGGTGTCAGTTCTGAGTAAAATGGTGAGGATAGGCACAGGATATCAGAAGGTAGGAAAGGAGTCCAGAAAGGGAAGTAGGATAGCTCAAAGACCAAATTCATTGACTTTGCAATTTGACTGGCTAGCTTTGCATTTGAGTTTATAATAATTTTATTAGTATCAGGGAACTCAGAGGTTATATTCCTAAGCCTCAAGGTAGTTTGTGTTGAATGGGATTAGGATATAACATTAATGTAGTTATCTGACTTAAATGTGATCATTATAGAATCGCAAAATTTCAGACTTGGAAGGGACTTAAGAAGTCTTCTATTCAAATTTTTTTTTTTTATTTTATAGATGAAGAAATCAGAGAATCATAGAATGGAGACCTACTCTGAAGTTACTTGTCCAAGGTCAGGGCTTTCCTTCTATACCATGCTTTTTCAATACTAGGTACAGAATTAGACTGGATCCTAAGACCCAAGTTCTATCTACCCATCAAATCCTTTTTAGTCTACCAGGATGGTGCCAAACTAATATCAGCAAAATCTATTTTCTTCAGGAGATGATTGATATTTCTTTTGTCCTTCATATCACCTGCCACTTACATGCTGAAAATATATTGAAAATGATGAAAACACATGATTTTTGTCAAGTTGTCAAAGTAAACTTGAGATACATTGAAAGCCAGATTTAGAACCATTCTGTACCATTAAGATGGGAACAGTAAGTATTCAAGTGAAAGGGGAGGATGAGAATTGAAAGTATCAGTATGTTCTTCTGAAACTATGTCTGTTAGACCACTATTATGGAGATTTCCACATACGTAGCTCAGTGGATAGAGCTCTGAGCCTGGGGTCAGAGAGATCTGAGTTCAAAGCTGGTCTCAGACAGTTATTAGCTGTATGACCCTGGGCAAGTCACTTAACCTCTGTTTGTCTTAATCCCCTGGAGAAGGAAGTGGCAAACCACTCTAGTGTCTTTGCCAAGGAAACCCCACCATGGACAGTGTGGTCCGTGGGGTCATAAAGAGTTGGATGTGACCTAACAACAATGGAGACTAGTGAAGGGATTAATGATGGAAATTCTCTAACTGGAGGAACTTCAGAAGAAAACAGAGCATGTGGCTGGCCATTCATGCTTAGGCATAAAAATACATTCACTCATTGACTAACTGGGGGCAGTAAATTGAGATGACTCATTGTCTAGCTTGATATCCTATTACTTACTCAGTACTATGTAGGCATGTTGGATTCTTAATAAAGATAAAGTGAACTTTAAAAAAAGTTTTGCAAATCTGATTAAGGTAGCTTTAAACCAAAAAGGGAAAGGAAGGAGGAGAGCTGCTCGCTCATAGATTTCTGTCTAGGCCAATACCATATGGAGTAACAGGTACACAACTGCAAAAAGAAAAACAAGAGAGAGAGAGAGAGAGAGAGAGAGAGAGAGAGAGAGCGTGCACCAATAATTCACAGGAGATATTAACCAAGAAACTGTCCAGCAATAAAACACTTGACCTTAGACATCTGTAAAAATGCATAAAATATGAATAATAGAGTGAATTAAACATTAATGAAAAGATTCAAGTCTGATGTAACAAATATCACTGAAACTTAAGAGTATGTGACTCATAACTGGATTATGGTTCTGAAAGTGATACCTTATTCAAAAAGAATACAATGGAAAAACAATTTAGGTGGTGGAGTAACAAAGTTTATCAAAGACATATTCCTTTTATTAAATCCAGGAATGTGAGGTAAGTAACATGGTGAAAAAAATTGGGTTGATGAGAAAAGGAGAACCAGTAGCAATGCTATCATAGGAATATACTACAGACCTACTGTAGAGAAGGAAGAATTAGATGTTACTTTAATGACACAGATTTTTTTTTTTTTGCCTAGGCAGTTGGCATAGGACATAGGACAATGTTTTTTTTTTTCTCATTCTTCCTCCTCTACCCTTCTAATCTACTTAATTTGCTGGCTAATTAAGAAATGAGAATTTCTAGTTACAGCTCTGAGATTCTCTTCTTCTTTTTTTTGGAGATGATTTTGTGAACATAGCTGAGATCTCGTCCTAGCTCTCAGCAAATATAGGAGTAATTCAGAGAGTTAGGGAGAGTCGAGGAGAGAACCAAGAGTGGTACCTTAGTGGTACAGGAAGTAAGTGCTATAGGAGTTACAGGAGTGAAAGACAGACTCCCAGGGTCTGCTTTTGTCAGAGAAGGCTTCATGAAGGAGGTGAGGTTGAGGTTGGGTCTTTTATGATGGATATGATTTGGATAATGGACGCAAGGAGCTTCTACTAACAAATTAACCATACCATCAAAATTCTTTCTAATTATTCAATTTACTTTCCCAGGGAATTAAATGTTTTCTTCCTTTTATACCAACACTGAAGACCACAGAAAGAGCCCTACCTGGTTGAAGAAGCCCTTCACAACACGCCTTTGTTTGAGGTTGGTTTCCCCATCCAAGTTGGCAGTTTCCAGGTGGCAGACTCCACTGGGATCAGAAGAGAAGAGTAAGAGGATATCTGCTGGGATGATCTCATTGCACTGAAGTTGGACGAAGTCTCCCACTCGAACATCCTTCCAATGCTTCTGCATGTAGCCTTGTTCCTTCCTGGGAGTGATGAAGAAGGAGTATCAAAGTTTGGAAAATTTGGGCTTTAGGACCCCTTAAGAAATGGGTTAGCTGGAGTCAGCAAAAGCCTCAAGTATGTATGTGGGTATAAGTAAGTATGGGGTGACACAGGCTTCACTTACCTCCCAAATATTTCCCTGGCTGGCCTGCCATGGTCCTATCTTCCCCTCCTATCTGATATTTCTCACCATTAGACTCACTGTAGTAGGTCAAAATAAGGGTCTTATCTCCAGAAAGCTACAAGTATGAAGTGTGTAATCATTATTATTATCAATACTACACATTTACCAAGTGCCTATGACTCTGAATGCCTCGGTGAGAAGAGGCATAGGGAAGTAGATAGGGCACTGACTTTAGAGCCAGTAGAATGTGAATCCTACCTCAGATACTTACTAGCAATGTAACCCTGGTCAAGTCATTTAAATTCTTTGTGCCTGGGTTCCTAGTCTGTAAAATGAAAGGTCTGGACTCCCTGGCCTCTAAGGGCTCTTCCAACTTCAAAATCTATGATCTTTCCACCTCCATCCTTATCGAGATGAAGCTATCACTACAAGTTCCATTCTGGGTGCCTTGGATCTCCAGATATCTTTGTGCCAGATGCTACACACATACACAAACATATACCCAGTCATACTTTCTTCCTCTTTATACTTATCCAGTGTCACTACCCTTCTATCATGGACTTTAGGTTGAAGATGGTTCCCTTATATTCAATAGATAGAAAAGACCTGTAAGCTATTGTTACCTCATAGTCATCCCTCAACTTGTTTTGGGGGATTACTCCTGGTCAGTTTGAGAATTTACTGTTTTAATTTCTGTTTTACTAACTTTTATTTTATTTTACTTTTATTTACTTTTTTTTTCTTTTTTCAGTGAGGCAGTTGGGGTTAAGTGACTTGCCTAGGGTCACACAGCTAGTAAGTAGTAAGTGTCAAGTGTCTGAGGCCAGATTTAAACTCAGGTCCTCCTGACTCCAAGGCCGGAGCTCTATCCACTGTGCCACCTAGCTGCCCCTTTATTTTACTTTTAAGAACAAACAAGTATTTATTTTCTCTCCCTCCCTTCTTTCTCTCCTTCAGGGAAAAAAAAGAAAAAAAGTAATAAATATGTATAGTCGAGCAAAACAAATTCCCGCATTGGGTCATGTCCAAAAAATGTATATCTCATTCTGCATCTGGAGGCTATCACCTCTCTGTCAAGAGGTGAATGGCATGCTTTATCACTTTGGAATTGTGGTTGGATTTTACATTCTTTAGCTCTTAAATCTTGCAAAGTTTGTCTTTACAGTGGTGATAGTATAATTTGCTTTTTTTATTCTGCTCAAGTCTTCCTAGATTTCTCCCAAAGTATCCCTTTTATAATTTCTCATGGCACAATAATATTCCATCATATTCATATACTCCATTCCCTCACTGATGGCTTTTCATTGCTTTTAAAAGTGATTTATTAGTTTATTGCCTGGGATTCTCTTCTGGGGAAAACATTACTTAACTACCATACTGTCCATTTCATTGATACCTTAGAAGAGGGCTCCAGTGAAGGACTGACTATGGCTAACATATCCTTTCCATTTTCTCTAACTCTTGAACAAGAACATAGTGATTAATTCCAGACTGCTGCTTCTTCCAGATTAACATTACCATGCATTGTCATTCTCCATTACTTATTGGACAAATTACTTAGCATGATAGTCAAGGTGTTCTACATGGCCCATCCAGTATTTCACACCTTCTCTCTTGGTATGAGCTCTCCAGAGCGAACTCTCTTGGTCAGCTATTCTATTCACTGGTACCAAACCTCCACATGTCAATTCCTTTAATGTAGTATTGCTATAAAGGCAGTATGGCCTAGTGGTGGAGTGCTCAAACCTTGGAATCAGGAAGACTCCAGTTTGAATTCTGATTAAAAACACTAGCTGTGACTGTGGAGACAAATCATTTCGCTTCTTTCAGCCTCAGTTTCCTTCTCTGTAAAATAGGGATTTAATGGTACCTACTTCACAGAGCTGTTGTGAGGATCAGCTGGGATAATATCTTTGTAAAGTTTAAAACCTTAAAACATTAATTCTTTTTCTTTTTGCTATCTTCCATTGCCTTTGCTCACATTTCTGCAACCTATAATTCCTTACTTCCTTCTCACTTCTGGTCTAAGTCCTACTATTTCCCTTAAACCTAACCCAAGCCTCATCTTCATGAATCACCTGAGGGTGTGGATACTCACTATCTCTTCTTAACTTCAGCTGTAAGGATGAAATGTACCGCTCATTTGCATAATCATCTATTTCCTTATTTGTTATCTCCTTCCATGTAAGTGAAATACACTTAAGTACATTACATTCTCCTTACATACAGAGAAGATTATATTTTCTTTATGCAATGTCAAATTGGCCTTCTATGCATCCCTGGTATAACCCCAGCACAAGACCTCACATAAGGCTTCAGTCACTGTTAACTGTTTTTGCTGCCATTGCTGTTCTTCCAGGGGTTTGGGCCCAGAAGAGAGCAAAGGATACCCAAAAGTACACAGACACAATGTTTACACTGTATTTGCTTGATTAATATCATCTTTACACTTTTCACTTGGAATAACTCAAGGGATAGTATTCTAAGGGATGGCACTATGTATTCCTTCTTTTGATTTGAACCCCACTGGACACTGATATAGTGTTGCTAGAGAGAAGAAACTGAAGCAGCAATTGATCATTACATTTAATTAAAAAGCACTTATTAATCACCTATGGTGTGCAAAGCCTTAAGCTTGGCACCAAGGATACAAAGATGAAATGTCACAGATACCTATCACCCTCAAAGAACTTCATATTACAACATGATGACGGTGGGACATAATTATATATGTAACAAAGATCAAGGAGAAACTCAGACAAAATACCTTAGGAAAATTTGCGGAGAGAGTGATCATTTCCAGCATTGGTACAAATATGTCAACCAATGGATAGTCACCCAGTTGGCTCAGTGGGCTTTCCCAGCTGGGTACAAGAAATCTGGCTTTTTGGGGTTGGGGTCTATAGTCTTGAATCTCCCTTCTTGGAGTTGGAGGATAGTACTTAGGTTCATGTATGAGAATGATCCACATCTTGATAGTGGGACATGGCCAGTAGTTTATAAGCATCTACTTAGCATTTGCTATGTGCCAGGCATTGTGCTAAGCTGGGAATACAAAGAATTACAAAAGACAATTCCTACTTTTGAGAACCTCATAGTCTAATGGGGACACTATATGCAAAAAAAACTATTAAAAACAAGATATGTATAGTGTAAATTAGAGATCAACAGAGAGAAGACAGTAAAATGAAGAGGGATCAGGAAAGGCTTCCTGTAGAAGACAAGACTTTAGCTGAGACTTGAAGGAAGCCAGGGAAACCAGGAGGTGCAGATGAGGAGAGAGAGAGAGAAACAGAGAGAGAGAGAGAGAGAGAGAGAGAGAGAGAGAGAGAGAGAGAGAGAGAGAGAGAGAGAGGGAGAGAGAGAGAGAGAGAGAGAGAGAGAGAGAGAGAGAGAGAGAGTTCCAGGCAGGGAGAAATGTGGAATCATGTTCATGGCAGCTCCTTTCTGCAAAAACACCTTGAATCTCAATGATTTACTGAGTCACGGAGCACTTCTAGTATAAGCAATTAAGCAACAAATATTTATTAAACTCTTAAATACATTGTCAGGCATTGTGCTAGTCACTCAAAGACAAAAATGAAACAGTCCTTGCCCTCAGGGATCCTACATTCTACTGGGAAACACAACGTGTAAAAATGTAAGAATGTGCAACATAGTCAAAAATAAGTATGTAATATGTAAAGAACAGTCTGTATTGGGATTGGGCTCCCACTACAAGAGAAAACGTAGGGAACCATGACTCCCTCTGAGGAGTACAAAGTCTCTCCTGAAGAGAGTTTTCAGTTTCCATTTCTTTTCCCAGTTTTTCCTCTACTTCTTTTACTTGCTTCTCAAAATCCCTTCTGAGCTCTTCCAAGGCTTGGGACTGATTCATATTCTTCTTGGAGGCTTTGGATGTAGGAGCTTTGGCTTCGTTGTCTTCTTCTGGTTGTATATTTTGATCTTCTTTGTCACCAAAGTAAGATAATATAGTCTGACTCTTTTTGCACTGCTTGCTCATGATCCCAACCAATTACTTGAGTTTTAAACTCTTTGTTAAGGTAAGAGTCTGTTTCCAATGTGGAGAATGTTCTGTCCCAAGCTTCAGGGGTTTGTACAGCTGTTTTCAGAGCTACTTCTAGGGATCTGAAAATTTTCAGTTCTTCCAGGGTGCTATGATAAGGGGTGAGGTGTTTCCTCTCCACAGCCACAACAAGCTCCACCACACCAGAGCTCCTCCTCGCCCCAAGACTACCCCTCAGAACTGTGACCCAGATCCAAGCATGGGCAAAGCAAGAGATTCCTACCTCAACACTGGCAAAGAGATCCCTGCAATCCCCCTCTGATCAGCCACTTGATTCCTCCTCAGTCTGTGGTCCAGAAGCTCAGAAGGCAGCCACTGCCCTTGGGGTGGCTCAGACCTAGCTCCTTCTTTCACCGCAGTCACAGACTTTTTCCACTGACCTTCTAAGTTGTCTTTGGCATTCATGAGTTGAGAAGTCTGGAAACCGCCACAGCTGCCCGCGATTCAGTCCTCCAAGGCCTGTGTGTCCATACCGAACTGCGCTCCTCTCCCAGCCCGGCGCAATATACCTTTCTTATCAGCCATCCAGGTTGTCTTGGGTTGGAAATTTGTTTTACCCTGTTTTTTTGTGGGTTCTGCTGCTTTAGAATTGTTTAGAGTCATTTTTTCTAGGTATTTGGAGGGGTTTGAGGGAGAGCTCAAGCAGGTCACTGCTTTCCCTCTGCCATCTTGGCTCCGCCCAGTTTCCATTTCTTTAGAAGACAGAACACAATGGTGGAGTGAGAGGCAGAGTAGTAATACAAAGAGTCCTGCCTTTGAAGCCAGGGTTTGTACCCTGTTACTTGGTATTG